ACATCCTCCGTGTTAAACATCCTCCGTGTTAAACATCCTCCGTGTTAAACATCCTCCGTGTTAAACATCCTCCGTGTTAAAGATCCTCCGTGTTAAAGATCCTCCGTGTTAAACATCCTCCGTGTTAAACATCCTCCGTGTTAAACAGCCTCCGTGTTAAAGAGACTACGTGTTAAACATCCTACCGTGTTAAACATCCTCTGTGTTAAAGATCCTCCGTGTTAAACATCCTCCGTGTTAAACATCCTCCGTGTTAAACATCCTCCGTGTTAAACAGCCTCCGTGTTAAAGAGACTACGTGTTAAACATCCTACCGTGTTAAACATGCTCCGTGTTAAAGATCCTCCGTGTTAAACATCCTCCGTGTTAAACATCCTCCGTGTTAAACATCCTCCGTGTTAAACATCCTCCGTGTTAAACATCCTCCGTGTTAAACATCCTCCGTGTTAAACATCCTCCGTGTTAAACATCCTCCGTGTTACACATCCTCCGTGTTAAACATCCTCCGTGTTAAACATCCTCCGTGTTAAACATCCTCCGTGTTAAACATCCTCCGTGTTAAACATCCTCCGTGTTAAACATCCTCCGTGTTAAACATCCTCCGTGTTAAACATCCTCCGTGTTAAACATGCTCCGTGTTAAACATCCTCCGTGTTAAACATCCTCCGTGTTAAACATCCTCCGTGTTAAACATCCTCCGTGTTAAACATCCTCCGTGTTAAACATCCTCCGTGTTAAACATCCTCCGTGTTAAACAGCCTACGTGTTAAACATCCTACCGTGTTAAACATCCTACCGTGTTAAACATCCTACCGTGTTAAACATCCTCCGTGTTAAAGATCCTCCGTGTTAAACATCCTCCGTGTTAAACATCCTCCGTGTTAAACATCCTCAGTGTTAAACATCCTCCGTGTTAAACATCCTACCGTGTTAAACAGACTACCGTGTTAAACAGACTACCGTGTTAACAGACTACCGTGTTAAAGATCCTCTGTGTTAAAGATCCTCCGTGTTAAACATCCTCCGTGTTAAACATCCTCTGTGTTAAAGATCCTCCGTGATAAACAGCCTACGTGTTAAACATCCTCTGTGTTAAAGATCCTCCGTGTTAAACAGCCTACGTGTTAAACATCCTCTGTGTTAAAGATCCTCCGTGTTAAACAGCCTACCGTGTTAAACATCCTCCGTGTTAAACAGCCTACCGTGTTAAACATCCTCTGTGTTAAAGATCCTCTGTGTTAAACAGCCTACGTGTTAAACATCCCCTGTGTTAAAGATCCTCTGTGTTAAACATCATCCGTGTTAAACAGCCTACCGTGTTAAACATCCTCCGTGTTAAACAGCCTATCGTGTTAAAGATCCTCCGTGTTAAACATCCTCCGTGTTAAACATCCTCCGTGATAAACATCCTCCGTGTTAAACATCCTATCGTGTTAAAGATCCTCCGTGTTAAACATCCTCCGTGTTAAACATCCTCCGTGTTAAACATCATCCGTGATAAACATCCTATGTGTTAAACATCCTCCGTGTTAAACATCCTCCGTGATAAACATCCTCCGTGTTAAACATCCTCCGTGTTAAACATCCTCCGTGATAAACATCCTATGCGTTAAACATCCTACGTGTTAAACATCCTCCGTGTTAAACATCCTATGTGTTAAACATCCTATGTGTTAAACACCCTATGTGTTAAACAGCCTACTGTGTTAAACATCCTCCGTGTTAAACAGACTACCGTGTTAAACAGCCTACGTGTTAAACATCCTCTGTGTTAAAGATCCTCCGTGTTAAACATCCTCCGTGTTAAACATCCTATCGTGTTAAAGATCCTCCGTGTTAAACATCCTCCGTGTTAAACATCCTCCGTGTTAAACATCATCCATGATAAACATCCTATGTGTTAAACATCCTCCGTGTTAAACATCCTCCGTGATAAACATCCTCCGTGTTAAACATCCTCCGTGTTAAACATCCTCCGTGATAAACATCCTATGCGTTAAACATCCTACGTGTTAAACATCCTCCGTGTTAAACATCCTATGTGTTAAACATCCTATGTGTTAAACACCCTATGTGTTAAACAGCCTACTGTGTTAAACATCCTCCGTGTTAAACAGACTACCGTGTTAAACAGCCTACGTGTTAAACATCCTCTGTGTTAAAGATCCTCCGTGTTAAACATCCTCCGTGTTAAACATCCTCTGTGTTAAAGATCCTCCGTGATAAACAGCCTACGTGTTAAACATCCTCTGTGTTAAAGATCCTCCGTGTTAACAGCCTACTGTGTTAAACATCCTATGTGTTAAACATCCTCCGTGTTAAACATCCACCGTGTTAAACATCCTCCGTGTTAAACAGCCTACTGTGTTAAACAGCCTACCGTGTTAAACATCCTCTGTGTTAAAGATCCTCCGTGTTAAACAGCCTACTGTGTTAAACATCCTCCGTGTTAAACAGACAACCGTGTTAAACAGCCTACGTGTTAAACATCCTCTGTGTTAAAGATCCTCCGTGTTAAACATCCTCCATGTTAAACATCCTCTGTGTTAAAGATCCTCCGTGATAAACAGCCTACGTGTTAAACATCCTCTGTGTTAAAGATCCTCCGTGTTAACAGCCTACTGTGTTAAACATCCTACGTGTTAAACATCCTCCGTGTTAAACATCCACCGTGTTAAACATCCTCCGTGTTAAACAGCCTACTGTGTTAAACAGCCTACCGTGTTAAACATCCTCTGTGTTAAAGATCCTCCGTGTTAAACAGCCTACGTGTTAAACATCCTCTGTGTTAAAGATCCTCCGTGTTAAACATCATCCGTGTTAAACAGCCTACCGTGTTAAACATCCTCCGTGTTAAACATCCTCCGTGATAAACATTCTATGTGTTAAACATCCTCCGTGTTAAACATCCTCCGTGTTAAACATCCTCCGTGTTAAACATCCTCCGTGTTAAACATCCTCCGTGTTAAACATCCTCCGTGTTAAACATCCTCCGTGTTAACATCCTATGTGTTAAACATCCTCCGTGTTAAACATCATCCGTGATAAACATCCTATGTGTTAAACATCCTCCGTGTTAAACATCCTCCGTGTTAAACATCCTCCGTGATAAACATCCTATGTGTTAAACATCCTCCGTGATAAACATCCTCCGTGTTAAACATCCTCCGTGTTGAACATCCTACGTGTTAAACATCCTCCGTGTTAAACATCCTCCGTGTTAAACAGCCTATCGTGTTAAACATCATCCGTGTTAAACATCCTCCGTGTTAAACATCCTCCGTGTTAAACATCCTCCGTGTTAAACATCCTCTGTGTTAAAGATCCTCCGTGTTAAACATCCTCCGTGTTAAACATCCTCCGTGTTAAACATCCTCTGTGTTAAACATCCTCCGTGTTAAACATCCTCCGTGATAAACAGCCTACGTGTTAAACATCCTCCGTGTTAAACAGCCCACGTGTTAAACATCCTCCGTAATAAACAGCCGACGTGTAAAACAGCCTACCTGTTAAACAGCCTACGTGTTAAACAGCCGACGTGTAAAACAGAGGGGTCATTGCCCGAAACGTCGCCTCTACATTCGATGTTTTTGTTATCCTTGTTAAGGACCGCACGATTGTTATTGACGATTTTGCGGTTCGGGTTCCGCGTGTGAATCTGTGCACGTGTGTCAAACACGTGTGTCAAACACGCGTGTCAAACACGTGTATCAAACCTGTGTCAAACACCTTTGTCAAACACGGGTGTCATACACGTGTGTCGAACACCTTTGTCAAACACGTGTGTCAAACACGGGTGTCAAACACGTGTGCAGAACACGTGTGTCGAACACCTTTGTCAAACACGTGTCAAACACGCGTGTGTGAACATCGCCACCGGGGAGACAAAGGCGGCCGGGCGTGGTGCTGGCCACCCACCCCCTCGTGTTGCCGTGCCGGCCTTCATAGCTGCTACTCGCTAACAGCACTTGCCCCAACAGTCTGTTACAGGCTATACGGGGGATCTTCGTCTTTGTCTACATTTTACGAACGTCTGGCGTACATAATGTATAACGTGAGTGAGTGTCTTATATATAGTTTATAGATATAATAATCCGCCGTATAAATGTACTGAGAAAATAAGTCCAGCACTTGCCCCTGCAGTCTGTCGAGGCTATACGGGGGATCTTTGTCTTTGTCTATATGATCGCAAACAGCACTTGCCCCTGCAGTCTGTCGAGGCTATACCGGGGATCTTTGTCTTAGTTTCGTGTAAATATCTCGCAAACGGCACTTGCCCCTGCAGTCTGTCGAGGCTATACGGGGGATCTTTGTCTTAGTTTCGTCTAAATATCTCGCAAACAGCACTTGCCCCTGCAGTCTGTCGAGGCTATACGGGGGATCTTTGTCTATATGATCGCAAACAGCACTTGCCCCTGCAGTCTGTCGAGGCTATACCGGGGATCTTTGTCTTAGTTTCGTCTAAATATCTCGCAAACAGCACTTGCCCCTGCAGTCTGTCGAGGCTATACGGGGGATCTTTGTCTATATGATCGCAAACAGCACTTGCCCCTGCAGTCTGTCGAGGCTATACCGGGGATCTTTGTCTTAGTTTCGTCTAAATATCTCGCAAACAGCACTTGCCCCTGCAGTCTGTCGAGGCTGTACGGGGGATCTTTGTCTTTGCGGGAGCGGTGGTGCAGCGGTTAGCGCTTCTCAGCGCTTACGAAGCCAGCCACCCGACTTCGATTCCCGCTCAGGGTCAGCACCACCGGTGACGATTATCTCAACCGTTCCTGGGCATCCCCCCCTAGGTCTACTCGGCCTCAAACGAGTGCCTTGGTTGGCGGTGTTGTAGTAAAACATCGTCACTCGGGGAAGACAAAGGCGGCCGGGCGTGGTGGCTGGCCACCCACCCCGTCGTGTGCCCTGCCGGCCTTCACAGGTGGTGCTGCTCGCTAACAGCACTTGCCCCAGCAGTCGGTTAAGGCTACACGGGGGATCTTTGTCTTGTGTGTTAGGAGCTTGCTGCCATGTGGAATAGTAAGATGCAGTCCACGGAATAGCAGAGCTGGCGGGGACACAGCGAAGCCGTCGTCGCGACTAAGGTGAGTGAGCCTCTCTCTCACACACCACACACACACCATCCTGCACCACACACACACACACACCATGCTGCACACACACACACCATGCTGCACACACACACTATACTACACCACACACATACCATGCTGCACACACACACACCATGCTGCACACACACACCATGCTGCACACACACACTATACTACACCACACACACACCATGCTGCACCACACACACACACACCATGCTGCACACACACACCATGCTGCACACACACACACCATGCTGCACACACACACCATACTGCACAGACAAACATACACACCATGCTGCACATACACACACACCACACCATGCTGCACACACACACCATACTATACACACACCATGCTGCATACACACACCATGCTGCACGCACACACTATACTACTACACACACACCATGCTGCACTCACACACACTATACTACACCACACACACACCATGCTGCACACACACACCATGCTGCACACACACACTATACTACACCACACACACACCATACTGCACGCACACACCCACACACACACCATGCTGTACCACACACATACACCATGCTGCACACACACACCACACACACACCATGCTGCACAACACACATACACCATACTACACACACCGTACTGCACCACACACACACCATGCTGCACCCACACACACCATGCTGCACCACACACATACACCATGCTGCACACACACCACACACACACCATGCTGCACAACACACATACACCATACTACACACACCGTACTGCACCACACACACACCATGCTGCACACACACGCACCACACACACACCATCCTGCACCACACACACACACCATGCTGCACACACACACCATGCTGCACACACACACACACCATGCTGCACACACACACTATACTACTACACACACACCATGCTGCACACACACCATACTGCACAGACAAACATACACACCATGCTGCACACACACCACACACACACACCATGCTGCACACACACACCATCCTGCACCACACACACACACCATGCTGCACCCACACACACACACCATGCTGCACCCACACACCATACTGCACCACACACACACATACCATGCTGCACACACACACACTATACTGCACCACACACACACCATGCTGCACAACACACCATGCTACACATACACAACACACACACCATACTGCACACACACACACACACCATACTACACACACACACACACCATACTACACACACACACCATGCTGCACACACACACCATACTACACACACACACCACACACACACTATACTGCACACACACACACCATGCTGCACACACACACTATACTGCCCACACACACCATACTACACACACACCACACACACTATACTGCACACACACACACACCATGCTGCACCACACACACACCATACTACACACACACATCATACTGCATACACACCCCACTGCACACACACACACCACACACACCATACTACACACACACCACACACACTATACTGCACACACACACACACACTCCATACTGCACACACAACATACTGCACACACACCATGCTGCACACACACACCATACTACTCACACACACACCATACTACACACACCACACACACTATACCGCACACACAACATACTGCACACACACCATGCTGCACACACACACACCACACACATTATACTGCACACACACCATGCTGCACACACACACCACACATACTATACTGCACACACACCATGCTGCACACACACACCATACTACACACACCATACTATACACACACACCACACACACTATACTGCACACACACTATACTGCACACACACCATGCTGCACACACACTATACTGCACACACACCATGCTGCACACACACACACCACACACACACGTGTGTATCGTGGGGGACGGTCAAATGGCTTTCATCCAGCAGTGGATTGACAAAGTGTTTAAACAACAAACAAAAAATAGTTTCTGTTTAAATACATACTTATATATTTTGTAACTTAACACGGAGGGGTTCGCTGTCAATATTGCGAACTGATTCTCGCATTTATTGCGAATTAATTCGTGGGTCGGGCTACGTTGACGTACTGGCCAAGGCTGTGTCGTCAGACCCTCCGCCACCCGGCACAGGCAAACAAAGACAAATTCTAAACAAAAACGTAATAATTTCATTTCAACACGTAGGCTTTCGCGACCAATATTATTCATAATAAAGGTTTTTGGGTTAGATCGCGTTATTTATAAATGTGTCGTAACCCTCCACCACCCGACACGGCCAATCAGCAAAATAAAGTGTCACGTTGACAAAAGACAAAATAGTTCACTACTTTAGCCCACCGGTGTGTTGAAGAGTAACAACATTTACAGTTTGAATACTCTTCAACACACCGGTGGGCTAAAGTAGTGAACTATTTTGTCTTTTGTCAACGTGACACTTTATTTTGCTGATTGGCCGTGTCGGGTGGTGAAGGGTTACGACACATTTATAAATAACGCGATCTAACCCAAAACACCTTTATTATGAATTTAATTTTGTTTCACCCAGGCGCATGGCCCCAACCGAGCTGCGAGGCTCTTTGTCAGAAGCGACCCTGACCCATCACAAATGACAGCCCAACGAATGTGGCGACTTATCATAATCATCGTCGTAATCATCGTTGTAATCATCGTCGTGTGGACATTTACAGCGGCAGCCAAAAACTCTGAACCGCGTGACGTTGATTCTGAATGTGGGGGTGAAAACCCCGGAGGAATCGGAGAGAAATCCACGCGAACACGGAGAGAGAGAGACACGCAAACTCCAAATATACAGCAGCAGGCGTCAGGGTCGGGATCGAACCCTAGGACCTCCTGTACACCAGGCGAGGTAGTTAACATCTCCTAGCCACCGTGGCTCCCATTCAAGAAGAATGCGGCGGCGGTGACTCGGTTGTTCTGCGCTGGTGGAACCTCCCCTTGGCGAGGTTTCCAAACGAAACGTCGGGTGTCGGAGGGTGCCGACGGCGCACACGCGTGTGGGTTTGTGTTCGTTGTTTGTTTTCCACATTCACGACAGAGGTCTCGTTGAGTTCAGTCGCCGCTCAGGGCCACAAACACCGGCGACGATTATCTGAACCGGTCCTGGGCCTCCCCCTAGGTCAACTCAGCCTCAAATGAGTACCTGGGTGCGGTGTGTAAACACCGCACATTGGGGAGACAAAGGCGGTCGGGCGTGGTGCTGGCCACCCACCCCCTCGTGTGCCGTGCCGGTCTTCACAGGTGCTGCTCGCTAACAGCACGTGCGGCTACACCGGAGGATGTTTGTCTTTGTAGTTGTGTATGTGCATTTGTGTACGTATCTGTGCGTGCGTGTGTTTGTGTGTCGACTCAGCCTCGGAATGAGTACCTGGGTGCGGTGTGTAGTAAACATCGCCACTCGGGGAGACAAAGGCGGCCGGGCGCGGTGCTGGCCAAACCCACCCCCCTCGTGTGCCACATTTCCGGCCTTCGCAGATGCTGCTATACGGGGGGGGGGTCTTCTCAGTCCTGGAAGAGTAGGCCAATACCCCCCCCCTCCCACCTGGTCTAACGCCGCTTGAGACGAGGCTGTAAACTGCAGGGGTTGGGGAACCTTTTTGTCTGCCAAGGGCCATTTGGATATTTATCAAACATCATTCGCGGGGCCGTACAAAATGATCAACTTACAAATTAGCCCGTTTATATTTGGTCTAACATTTAATGAACTCGCCCCCTAATGTGATATGATGGGCTGGAACTGTTTCTCTTTGGCGAGGCGTGTGATGATGATGATGTTAGCTGGCTATCGACGATTCTGCCGCTGCTACTCGCAACTGCTTTTCCACGTTTGCTCCTACCTGGATTTATTGAATGTTTGAGTTCCGCACGCGGTTCCCTTGGCAGAGTCGGGCGTCCCCCACCCCTGAAAGTCTAAAAGAAAGCTGTCTCTGGCGTGGACCGATCCGTTTCAAAGACAATGCATCATCGCATACTAACAGAACGTGGTTTGGTTGCTTGTTTGCGTGTTCACCACCAGTATGCGCGCTTTATCCACTACACGATTTCTTGTCCCACCACCACCAAAAGAAACGGTCTCTGTTTGATGTTTGAACATCTTCTTCACGCAGCTGTTTGATTGCCAAAACCTATTGCGATCATCTTGATTTGAAGCTTTCGTCACTGCAGCAATCCGTACTCTTTGGGTTCTTTCGGTAAAGTCACATAGGTAGTGAAATAAAATACCGGCTTGTGATATATATCGGGGAAAGTGCTGTTCGTGAGCAGTCACGAAGGGGGTGGTCGAAACACCGATGCTCTCAACAAACCGCACCAGGTTGCTCATTTAAGGCTGAGTCGACCTACGAGAGGACACCGCTGCAAACATTACAACCGGTTAAATTTTTTTATTTAAAGCTTTCGTGACCGCAGGGATTCATATTGTTGGTTCTTTCGCTAAAGTTACCACCACGTAGAAGGGAAACAATATATATATATTTTTTTTTAAACGCCACTTTTTTCAAAATTTCTTGCTGTGGTTTTCACGCCCGATGATGATTGCTCGTGTTGCAGTCGAAACGTCGTGAGAATTTTATCGTTTTATATATTTTTTATTGTTTTATCGTTTCCCTTCTACGTGGTGACTTTACCGAAAGAACCAAGAATGTATATTCCAACCGGTGTCAATTGTCGCGAGCTTGAAGCGAACTCGGCTCGCCGCCGCTGGCCACGTGGTCTATCCACCGCTGGATGAAGGCTTCCCCCGTCTCGCGATATGATCCTGCACACACCGAAGGCGAAGATCTCCTCCCTCCACCCCCCCCGCCCCGTACCGCCTGTGACCGACTGTTCGGGGCGAGCGCCGTTAGCGAGCGGCGCGTGTCGGGGTTGGGTGGCCGAAACGTCACGCCCGGCCGCCTTCGTCTCCCCAGCGCTGACGTATGAACGTCGGCGCCGGGGAGGCATTTGAGGCCGAGTCGACCTAGGGGGAGA